GAAATTTATCGGAGGCAACTGGTGTTTCTGCGAGGTCATAGCACAGGATCAGTCCAGAATATGAGTTTAGGTCTGAGTAATATAATCATAGTTGGTAATAATATTATCTTAGCTGTGTTTCTTGAACTGTTATCTTTGAGAGGTTTTATGCTGTCAATCGCAAAATGCTCTGTTTCGTATATTATAAACGAGGCAGAGAGCGTGTGTGAGGAGTTTCACAACTTTTCTAAAGCTTTCAAACAAGGATCCCCCAGCAAATCTTTTTAGGTAGTATGCGACCGCTTTCCACACATGAAATCCTACTACCGACTGGCAGAAATGGAGCTTAACCGCGGAAATGTGGAACTAGCCTACAATCATCTGACTAGGCACATCTTCCGACGGAAGAAGCGCGATGAATCGCTGTTTGACGTCAGTTTTTGCTTCTTTTTTTCTTCAGCACGCAGTTTGAATGTCTTTTTTCAGAGTGTCATAGAGATAACATCCCAAGACATTGACCGTTCGGGATCGTTCCCTTATCATGTAGAGAGAGCTTTAGAACTAATGATGAGCTTGGCATATCAACTCAAGGATGCTTCTATCCTCATTGGCATTATCACCACGCTTATTTCCAATATGGAGAGTAAAAGCGAGTGAGTTTTTTAATTGATCCAAGTGGAATTTTGAGTTGGTCATTTTTGTAGAATGTACATCTTAAAAGAGAGGCAGGGAGCATTGTTGATGCATGCAACTAATCGACTGCACATATTGGTCATGGAGTCATCTTCACCAAAAGTAATGCGCTCTGAAATGTACAGAGCATGGCAGGTGGTAAACAGGTTGGTGCAAACATTTTTTCTTTGAATTAGACTGCACGTGGAAAATATTGTACAAATTTGCCTCCTTCATTCTAATTCATAATCAAACTGTAGCGGTCCCAAAAATTACGGAAAGGAGAGAGTTTCTAAAGGGGGGGGGGGCGTTAGCAGTTTTTCTCCAAAAGTTTTTGAATGCTTGAAATTACATTTTGTAAATATGGACTTTTTCAGATGTAAGCATTTGGCTGCACGAGCCGTGGAAGTTCGTTTGCAAGCATTGATACAGCATATGTTTGGCTCACTCAATGATTTTGTTGCCGAACAGTCTATGTCCCAAGACAACAGAAGGAAACAAGTCAGGGTGAGTATTAGATGGTTTTTTGATACACTCAAGAAAGACAAAATTACTTTCAGAAAAGAAAGCTTAATGCATATGATCTAAGCGGTTCTGAAACAAACTCTATATTCCTGGTACCCGGCGCAGTTCCTTCCA